TCTGTGGTCCATGAAAAGCCAAGCTGTCCCACAGTTAAACAAACAGCAAAAGCCCCAGCAAATTCCCTTCTCCCTAATATCCAAAAAGGCAACACATGAAAAGATGCCCCCCATAACTGAACCTCTGCCCAAGCTGTAATAGATTATAAGGCTTTCCCACCCTGCTGGCCCCTGCTAAGGCCCTAGCACGGCCCCAGTGCCCTTGCCAAGGCCCTCCAAACTCCTGAATGGCTTTTCCAAGGTCTTTTCCCCAGGTCACAGCTGTCACAAGCTGACTGCACCATCATAAAAACCTACCTGGCCCAAGATAAACTATACAAACTGCCAGCCCGAGATAAACATCCCTCACATGAAAGGGAAGGCTCCAGGACCAAGGCCAGTTTCTGGCCTCTCCAGAATCCTTGGTCTCTCTGTGTTTATTCTCCTGCTTCTCCCTAATTGTGTTTATTTCTTACTTATCAATTTTCTGACCAATGCACCAAGTCCTGGAACGTTGACAGGGTGCCCAGTGAACTAATTACACCCCTCCTCAGAGTTCTAAACAAAGCCAAACAAGACAGAGGAATGGAAGGAGACGCCAGATCGTTGTTTATCCCTGATGGAGCTGGGTTGCTGAACGTAGTTTAAGTGAGAATCAGAAGTTTCCCAACATCATGCTGATAAGTAAGATTCAGTGGTCTGAAGCTCTATTGGGAAAGAGCCCCAAATCTGCCAATTAAGCCACCAGTCCAAGGGCAGAGTTAGGAAAGGGGGTGGTCGGGGAGAGCCAGGCTTATACTAACACAACACAACTCTCTGTACCTAGGACAGTCTCTTGGTTTGTTTTGATTTGTTTCATTTTTGAGACAAGGTCTCATGTTTCACAGGCTGGCCTTAAACTTGACTGTAGTGGAGACTGACCTTGAACTTCTGATCTTCCTACCTCTACCTCCAGAGTGCTGAGATCACAGCTTTGAGCCACTACACCGTTTCCGGGGTTCTAGGGATCAAAGCCAGGGCTTATTGCTTGTGAGGCAAGTACTCTGGTAACTGAGCTATAATCCCAGATCTGGTTTGTTCTTTTGTTTTTTATTATTGTGTTGGATGTGTGTACAGGCACAAACGTACCACGGTGCATGTGTGGAGAGCAGGGGACAACTTGGTGGAAAGGGTGCTCTCCTCCACCTTTCCTGGGGCTCTGGGACTAGAACTCAGGTCGTGAGGGTTACTTCATAAGTGTTTACCCACTGAGCCATCGACTTGGCCTTTGGTTGGTGTTTTGGATTTTGTTGTTTGAAACAGGGTCTTACTGTGTTCATGAAGCTGGTCTAGAATTCCATATATAGGCTGGGCTGGTTGTCGTATCTCTCTCTGAAAAGCAGTTCTTGTTTGAATATCTCATGCCCCTCCATGGCTACCAAACCCTTGTGCATTCTAAATAAGCATCCTACCACTAAGGTATACCACCACCACCCCGAAGGCATTTTACTTATAATAGATACACCTGTATCATTTCACTATAGTTAAATCTTTGAACTAGTCAGACATGGCTGCAGTGGCCTGTAAATCCCAGGAAAGAAGAGGACAGAGAGGAGGAGAGGGAAAAGGAAAAGGAAAAGTTTGCTTGAGGCCAGCCTGGGTTCCACAGTGAGACACTATTTCAATCGATCCATTATTCCTTAACCAATCAATTAACTAAAAGAGAATTCCCTGAATGATCATGACGAGGCCAGCTGACAGCACTAGGAGATATCGGATGTGCCGCTGGAAGCCTTGCTGTACCCAGACAGGCACTGAACTATGGTGATATTTTATTTGTATTAAAATGTTATTTGTATGTTAATAAATAAAGTTGCCCGGGGGTCAGAGCTATTAGCAAGCCATAGGAAAGCAGGGCAGTGGTAGCGTACGCTTGTAATTCCAGCACTTGGTAGGCAGAGCTGGGTAAGTCTCTGTGTGTTCAGGGATACAGCCATTATTGGATACACATGCCTTTAATCTTAATACCAATCATGGAAAACCTGGAGGCCTATACAGACAGGCCGTGAGGAGGCGGTCATGTGGTTGGGTTTACAACCAATGAGAAGGCAGGACAGGAACTCTATATAAAGACTTTAACACAGGGGTAGCTCTGGTTCGGAGAGGTAGGACCACCGCAGGAGGAAGGGTAAGGTTTTAGCTCTTAGCTCTCACCTCTTGGCTTTCTTCTTTGCATTGGTTCTGTGTTTCTTATTTAATAAGAAGGTTGGATACATCTACACTGAACTCTTGGTAATCCTCCTGCTCCAACCTCCTGAGTTCTGAGATTGCTGGTGTGCACCACCCTACCCAACTCGAACATTTAAAGAAGCAAAAGGAATGTGAAAAGCAAGAAAACTTCCTTTACACTATGATTTGCATTTCTTTCTCTTCCTTCCCAAACCGTGGCGCTAGCCCATGCCTGCTTCCTCCTCTACACACCTTCCTTTCCCTCTCGAGTTTCCTGTACAGTTCCCTTGTACACATCACCCTCCTTTTGTGTTGGGAAGAGCCTTTTGGCCTCCTCTCAGCATTTTGGCTCTCCTCACTGCCAATGACCCTGCTTGATTCAACAAAGGCACTCTAGAGAGCATGTGGTTCAGAGCTCCAACTCCTCTTGTAGACAGAGAGGCGTTGGCAGTGCATCATTTTAACACGTCCCCTCTATCACGTAGACATAAAACAAAATTCCAAGTAGGCCAGAACTCAGTGGGGAAGAGAAGGCAATGTCAGGGTCACCCAGGCATGGGATCTAGGCAGACACAAGTCTTCGGTGAAGAGATATCAGAAATGTGAATCTTGAGTTGAATCAGGCACTGCATAAAACCAGATTCCTAATTCAGCCAGGGCCTCTCTGCAGGCCAGGAGCTGGGGAAGGATCACTAGAGATGCTGGGCATGGGCGCAAGATGAGGAGTGGGGAGTAAAGGCACTCCATAAATACACAGCAAACATGGATCCCACTGGCGGTGACAGATTATGGAAATGACAAGTGGAGACAGCACTAGAGACATCTTACCAACCCACTAAGCCAGAGCCAAGGAATCAAGGACGCAAACAGCTCCCAACTCGACGCGTTTCGTTCACATTTAATAATATCTCCAGCTTTCCATGTCTGTAAATTCCACATGTGTGAGTTCAGTCAACTGTTGGTGGGAAACATTTGAAAAGTATTTGTAGCTGCACTGAACTGTATAGATTTTTTATTCTTGTTATCCCCTAAACAGCACTGGATGACTGTATAGCATACATACACATAAATAAGATAAAAATGTATCTTAAAAACACACAAACAAGCTTTTTCTTCTTCTTTTTCTGGAAAACACCAAACAGCGGATGACGCTGGTACAGCAGGAGGGCCCAGAGGACCTGGGGATCCAGGATTAGGAGGCTGCAATAGCTTCCATGAAGGATTCAGCAGAGGTCTTAGAGGCTGCAGTCATGGTCCGGTCGTGGTCACGGCCAAAGCCATGGGGCTCCTGGAGGTAAAGTCAAAGACAAGGAGTAGATCCCTGTCACCAAGCTGGGCCGCCTGGTTAAGGACATGAAGATCAAGTCCCTGGAGGAGATCTACCTGTTCTCCCTGCCCATTAAAGAATCCAAGATTATTGACTTTTTCCTGGACCCATCCTTAAAGGATGAGGTTCTAGAGATCATGCCAGTGCAGAAGCAGACTCGGGCTGGCCAGCGGACCAGATTCAAGGCTTTTGTCGCTATTGGGGACTACAATGGTCATGTTGGTCTTGGTGTTAAGTGCTCCAAGGAAGTAGCCACTGCCATCCGAGGGGCCATCATCTTGGCCAAGCTGTCCACTGTCCCTGTGCGGAGAGGCTACTGGGGGAACAAGATTGGCAAGCCCCCCACTGCTCCATGCAAAGTGACAGGCTGCTGTGGCTCTGTGTTGGTGCGTCTCATCCCTGCCCCCAGAGACACTGGCATCGTCTCTGCTCCTGGGCCCAAGAAGGTGCTGCTAATGGCCAGTATTGATGACTGCTACCCATCAGCCAGGGGCTGCACTGCTACCCTGGGCACCTTCGCCAAGGCCACCTTTGATGCCATCTCTAAGACCTCCAGCTACCTGACCCCTGACCTCTGGAAAGAGACTGTGTTCACCAAGTCTCCTTATGAGGAATTCACTGACCATCTTGTGATAACCCACACCAGAGTCTCTGTTCAAAGGACCCAGACTCGAGCTGTGGTCGCCACAGAGGGGTTTTTATACAAGAAAAATAAAGTGAATTTAGTCTGTTAAAGCACATACACACACACACACACACACACACACACACACACACACACACACACACACACACGCCCCTCACAAAGTTTTCTATTAGCTTCCTAGACAGGGAATGTTTACCTGTGTGCATGTTTTTCTCTTGTCTTCAAAATCAACCCTGTCACCACCACAACCAAGATACTGGATAATTCTACCAGCCCAAGTGTCTTAGGTTTCTATTGCAATGACAAAACACCATGACCAAAAACAACTTGGAGAGGAGAGGGTTTATTTCAGCGTACAGTTCCACATCACAGCCCATCATCAAAGGAAGTCAGGCCCGGGACCTGGAGGCAGGACCTGAAGCTGAGGCCAGGGAGGAACTCTGCTTCCTGGCTTGCCTCTCATGGCTTGCTCAGCCTGCTTTCTCATAGAACTGAGGACCACCAGCCCAGGGGTGGTACCATCCACAGTGTGCTGGGTCGTTTCCACATCAATCATTACTCAAGAAAACACACTACAGGCTTGTCGGCAGGCCTTAGCAGATGCATGATTTTGACCGGGAGTCTTCTCTGCCTTGGAAAAACGCAGTGCTGGAGAAACACCAACACCAATGTGGACTCCAAGCGTGCAAGGGGCAAGTCTTCTTTGAGAAATCCACATCCTAGTTCTCGGTTGGGTTTCACTTTCTTTCTTCACACCTTCCTTTCTCTTAACCATAGGGCTTCAATTCCACATGAAAATCTCCTAACAAACTCCAACTCTGCCCTAAAAACCTTAAAATATCAAAAAAAAAAAAAGAGTCTGACCAAAACTGCTGCGAGCTCAGCATGCTTCTCTTACAACCAAACGTCCTTCATCCTTGAGAAGGGATTTCTTTGCTCCTCCCTCCCTGAGGAAAATGGCAACCAACATTTTTCTTCTCCTCACAGCCACCATTCTCTCTGCCTCAGCAGAGACTGGAGCACGGAGACATAAAGATGTGCCCGTTAGTCGTTTAAACTCGGTGGGGCTGCGAGTTTGTTGTTTTTAATTACATTTACTATTATTATTATTATTTGTGTGTGTGTGTGTGTGTGTGTGTGTGTGTGTGTGTGTGTGTGTGTGTGTGTACATGAGCATAGAATTCAGAGAACAAGCTGGGTAGTGGTGGCGGATCTCTGAGAGTTCGAGGCCAGCCTGGTCTACAGAGTGAGTTCCAGGACAGGCACCAAAACTACACAGAGAAGCCCTGTCGAGAAAAAAAAAAAAAAGGGATTCAGAGGACAATCTTGGACTGGTTCTCTCCCTCCACCACGGGGGTGCCAGGTATCAGATTGTCAGCTTTAGCAGTAACCCCCTTTACCAACGGAGCATCTCGCCAGTCCTGTTTATTTCATTTACCTTTGCTTTGCTTTTGTTTGTTGGGGTATTTTGTGTGCGTGTGTGGTTTGTCATTTGTTGATTACTGTTGGACGTTCAGAGACAGGCCCTCCCTGGGGCAGAGTCCTGTCCATCCAGGAAGAGACAGTGTAAGGAATGGACCCTCCACACTACATCCTCGATGAACTACAGTGACTGGGGCAGCTTGTGCAGCATATCCCCCTCTCTAGAGAGCTAATGCTGGTACAGAATGTTTGTTTTTTATGGAAACAATTACAGGGCTGGAGATGTGGTTCAGTTAGTAGAGTGCTCACCCAGCATGCATAAAGTCCTTGGTTTGATAAACTGGGCACACCTTTAGTTTTGGTATTTAGAAGGTGGAGGCAGGGGGATTAGAAGTTAAAGGTCATCCTTGGATACACAATGAATTGCAAGACTGGTCTGGACTTCATGAGACCCTGTCTCAATAACAAAAAGAGACTATAAAAGATATCAGTGTATCATTTTTCGACAAAATGGCAGGGCATTGCTGGCCAGAAACATTTAATCACCGTAAGGTCTTTCAGTTTGGCAGAGTGAGAGGATAAATGGGGGATCAAGTGTCGCCCAGAGACAGTTGGCCTTGTTCTCCTCCAGGTTATTTATAAGAGTGACAGGTCAGCCTCTGAGCCACACAGGAGTCAGCAAGACCTTAAATTGCCCTTGCTCAGCTGCTCACTGTGACTCTGAGCCACAGCTCTGAAACTGTTTCCTCGACAATATGGCTGCTTCCCAGAATCTTCATCAGGGTTAAAATAGGGATCAGCAGCTTAGCTGCCTGCGCACAGCCCCTCATAAACGGGAGCTATTGATATCATTTAAGGGGAGACAGAGAACGTGCGTGTAGCAAATTGCACGTTTCTGTTTACTTTCTCCAGTGAGTAGATCTTAGCAAAATGCAACCCAGGAACTCCAGGGAAGTGTCATTCCGACTCTTAATATTTGAAGCTGGACATGGTGACACAAGCCTGCAAACTTAGCTGATGTAAGAGGATCACCAAGAGTTATGTGCTACATAGTGAGTAGCAGGTTACATCATCGCAAGACAGAATTTAAAAGAAGGAGAAGGAGGAGGAAGGAAGAAAGGAAGGAAGGAAGGAGAGAGAAACAATCAACAACCACAAAAAAAGAGGAAAAAAGAAAAAAGAAAATTACCTTGAATAAATTGAAGGTTAACTCATGTTACTAATAAAATCCTTTGGCAGAAGTGTAGAAGTCTGCAACTGAATATTCAGTAGAATTTGAATTCTTGCATGTCATTTTGATAAAATCAAGGCAAAGGATGAAGAGACATGATCAATTAAAAAGATATTTCAGGTAGCATCTGTCCTTCCCTAAGTGAAGAGAAAGGCTAAAGGGCAGTGCTTCAAGAGACCTGAAATTGGAGGTGTATTGAGGCTTCTAATTATTTGTTCATGTTAAGTTTGAAAGGAACTTTAGGGTCCCAACTCATATTTTTAAAAGATTCATTTATTTATTTTATTCATACGGTGTTTTGTCTGCATGAATATCTGTGCACCATGTGTGTGCCTGGTGCCCAGGGAGGCAGAAGAGGGCTGGAACTGGAGTTATAGATGGTTGTGAACTGCCTCCTGGGTGCTGGGAATCAAACCTGGGTCTTCCAGAAGAGTAGCCTGTGCTCTTAACTTCTGACTCATCTTTCCAGCCCCCAACTCAGGTTTTAAGAAAACAAAAAGATGGAATAGTAAGCTAGCACATTTAGTTCACAAGAGATATATGCCTTGGAATTAAGATTTATTTTTTAATTTAATTTAGTAGTAGTAGTAGTAGTAGTAGTAATAGTAGTAGTTGTTGCATATGTATGTGAGAGAGAGAAAGAGAGAGAAACATGTGGTGTGTGTTTGTCCAGACATATAGGTGCCAAGGTACAAATGAAGCAGGCAGAAGATAATCCTCAGGAGTCAGTTCCAGGATCAGACTCGGGTTATCGATCTGGAGTGGAAAGCATTTTTGTCTGATGAGCCATCTCACTGGCCCTGGACTCAGGCTTCTTACTGGTTAGGACACAGCAGGAAAAGATGGTAAAAATACACAGGGCCAAGCTAACCTCTGTGCTGCTTTACCACGTGAGCTGTGGAACAGAACTTGTTTTTTGTATCTTTTGAGAGGAGAGTCTAATACTGTAGCCAGGCCACTAGAACTCACTACATCACCCATGCTGACCTTAAACTCACAGCCATCTGTAGGTGGAGTTTTCCTGTCTTGAGAATTGCTTCCAAATAATTAATAAATTATCAATATAAGCACACAGAGACATATTAATTGTAAATGCTCGGCCGATAGCTCAAGCTTATTACTAACTAGCTCTTACATTTTTTTTTTTAAGATTTATTTATTTATTATGCATACAACAATGTTCTGCCTGCGTGTAGGCCTGCAGGCCAGAAGAGGGCATCAGATCTCATTACAAGTGGTTGTGAGCCACCATGTGGTTGCTGGGAATTGAACTCAGGACCTCTGGAAGAACAGCCAGTGCTCTTAACCTCTGAGCCATCTCTCCAGCCCCTAGCTCTTACATTTTAAGTTAACCCATATTCCTTATTTACATTCTACCTTTATTAGCATGGTACATTCATCTCCTGCTCCCTCTGCATCTGGCTGGAGACTCCTCTGATTCTGCCTTTCCTCATCCCATCATTCTCAGTTTGGCTTTCACGCCTAACTTTATCGTGTTCAGCTATTGGCCAGTCAGCATGTTTATTAAACCAATCATAGTGACATATTCACAGAATGTACAGAAGAATTATTCCATAGCAGCCATCTTCCTGCCTCAGTCTTCCAAGTGCTAGGCTCAAAGAATGAGCTAGAACCAGAGCTTGGTAATTGTTGTAGAATATTATTTTAAGATGTGTTACATTTGTTTGTGCTGTGGAACATTTGTTTAATGATGCAAAGATGTGTTGCATTCTTTTATGTTTCATTTGTTTAACTCTGTGAAGCTGTGTTACTGTGCCTGTCTAAAACACCTGATGGTTGCCGGGCGGTGGTGGCGCACGCCTTTAATCCCAGCACTCGGGAGGCAGAGCCAGGCGGATCTCTGTGAGTTCGAGGCCAGCCTGGTCTCCAAAGCGAGTTCCAGGAAAGGCGCAAAGCTACACAGAGAAACCCTGTCTCGAAAAACCAAAAAAAAAAAAAAAAAAAAACACCTGATGGTCTAATAAAGAGCTGAACAGCCAATAGCAAGGCAGGAGAAAGGATAAGTGGGGCTGGGAGGCAGAGAGAATAAATAGAAGGAAAAATCTGAGAGAAAAAAGAAGAGCAAGAGAACAAGGAGAGGAGGGTGGCCAGTCACATAGCCAGCCACAGAGTAAGAGTGAAAGTAAGATACACAGAAACAGAGAAAGGAAAAAGCCCAGAGGCAAAAGGTAGACAGGATAATTTAAAATTAAGGAAACCTGGCTAGAAACCAGCCAATCTCAGGCTGGGTATTTACAATTAAGAATAAACCTTTATGTGTAATTTACTTGAGACAGGTCATATTTTATAGTCCGTGTAAACAGTAAATGTCTAATGTAAAATGTGGAATCCTTCCTAACCTCACAATGATGAGGTAATGATGAAGAGATAGCCATTCTCAATGAGTTACATGCACCTTAAAGCTAGTAAAATTCATGGTCCCCTTTTTAGAAATCTGTAGCATGTGAATTCATTTTAGAAGTTACAGCAGGGTATACATTTTGGACATTATTTACATTTGCTACCTAGTTAAAACAATCTTCATCAGACTTCGAATGTATCTTCATTAGACAGTCACATATAACAAAACTTGCTTTCCTTGGAGATCCCTCCAGGGAGTTCACTTGACTTTCCTGTAATGCTGATACCCCTTTCCTGCGCCATTCTTCACCTGCTGCTTTTTTAGCCACAAAGAGCACCCATCTACTCAATGGCCCAGCTTTGAGGCCAGTTGACAATAGCGGACTTCAAGTTACTCCATCAATAGACATTTAAATAGCCACTGTATAACAGCACTTCAGCAGAGGTGTCCTGGGGGAAAAGAAAATCAGTGACCCTTGTGAGGTGTATTCTCACTGTCTGCCCCACCTGCCAAGCCATCTTTACTTCCTGGTGCTCTCCAGGATGCTCCACTCCCCAAAATCCACCCCTGCAGATCCACCAAAAGGGCAGAATCCCGTCCCCCTTGCTCAAAATGCATCAAGGACTTCTCTATCAGTTAACACATGCATTTGGCAGCTAGTAACAGAGCCTAGAAACAGTAGTGGCTTAAACCAGATAAAAGTTTATTTTTCTTTTCTGTAAAAGAATTCTGGAGATAAGAAATGCGGGGCTGGTAGGGCCTCGCCTATATAGTTCCTGTATCTCTCCCCTCCACAATGGACCTTCTATCCTTACAGACAAAGACGGCTCCTCAGGTTGCTTCCGCCTTCTCCATCTTGTGGACAGCAGCAGGAGACAGATGGGTCCCAGGCAAACTTCTTTTGTGATCACCTCAGGGCTTAATATGGTCCAGCATACATTGTGAGCAGCCCCTAAGTAATCATAAATTAAAAAAAAAAAAGGTTCTTTTACCCCATTTTAATTTATTATTTGCATGTGTGTGGAGGTCAGAGGAAAACCTGCTGGAGTCACCTCTCCCTTCTGCCATGTCTGTCCTGAGAATTGAACTCAGGCCATCTTTCACTTGCTAAGCCATCTCATCTGCCCCAAAACATAATTTTGTGGCAACAACAGAAGGAGACAATTTATCACTCACAAAACTTCAGTAAACATCAACGGTGTAGCCCAGCATGGTACCCTAGGCCTGTAATTCCAGAACTCTACAAGCAGATGTAGAAAGAGTATGACTTCAAGCGGTCTACATAGAGAGTTCCAGGCCACCCGAAGCTAAATAGCAAGGCCCTGTCTCAAAATAACAAACAACGAAGCTGGGAGTGTTGGCACGCACCTGTTAACCTAGCACTTTAGAGGTGGAGGCAGGAGGATCAGGAGTTCAGGGTCATCCTTGGCTACATAGTGAGTTTAAGGCCAGCTGGCCCATATGAGACCCTGCTCACAACTAAATAAATAAGCAAACAAACAGTATACAATATACTGTATAATACAATAATATCATACACAATATACAGTATACAAACAGTATACCAGTATCGGAACCTACAGGGTGTAGTTTGAAACTCTTACAAGGGCACTTTGTTTTATAAAACTGTACAATTACAGGCTGGATGTAGAGGTGATCAGTATTGAGTGCTTATCTAGTATGTGCAAGGCCCAAAGTCTGGTCCCCAGCACGGGGTTGGGGGAGGCAATAATAAAGTAAAATATGGCTCACTATAGTATCTGAAATTCCTAGAATTAAACACTTCACCTATTGGATTAAGAGACTGCACCTGCAATAAAATGTACCGTATTACACCAAGGAAGTAGGGACAGGTACAGTAAGAGGCAACTTTTGATACATTCAAACTTAAGGTAAACCCACAAAACTTTTACTTCTCAGTGTGTGTGCGCGCGCGCGTGCGTGCGTGCGTGTGTGTGTGTGTGTGTGTGTGTGTGTGTGTGTGTGTATATATGTGTATGCGCGCGCATGCGCGCGCACGCCAGCTGTCTTCCTCAGTCAATATCCACCTTAGATTTTTTTAAATGTATTTCTAAATTGTATTTATTACTATTGTGTGTACATGGTGTGTTGTGTGAGTGCCACAGCACTCCTGCAAAGCTCAAAGAGAACTTTGCAGAATTCTCCTTCCACCTTTATGGGCGTTCCTAGGACTGACCTCGGGCCACCAAGCTTACTCAGCAAGCACCTTTACCTACTGAGCCATCCCACCAGCCCTCCAGCTTAGTCTTTGAGACAGTCCCTCTGAACCTAGAGCTCACTAATTCTGTTAGGCTGATGGGCCAGTAAGCTCGAGGGATCTGCCTGTTTCTGCCTACCCAGCAGGGAAACTTCAGGCACGTGCCATTGTTGTGGAATATTACTTTAAGATGTGTTACTTTTGTTAATGCTGTGGGACACTGGTTTAATGATGCAAAGATATGTTGCATTCTTTTATGCGGCATTTGTTTAATTCTGTGAAGCTGTGTTACTGTGCCTGTCTAAAACACATGATTGTTCTAATAAAGAGCTGAATGGCCAATAGCAAGGCAGGAGAAAGGATAGGTGGGGCTGGCAGGCAGGGAGAATAAATGAGTGGAGAAATCTGGGAAAGAAAAAAGATCAAGGAACCAGAAAAGATATACAGAAATAGAGAAAGGTAAAAGCCCAGAGGCAAAAGGTAGATGGGATAATTTAAGAAAAGCTGGCTAGCAACAAGCCAAGCTAAGACTGGGCATTCATAAGAAATAATAAGATTTCTTGTGACTTATTTGGGAGCTGGGTGGCAGGTCCCAAAAGAGTCAAAAGAGTAAAAAAAAAAAAAAAAAAAAAAACCAACAACATGTCATGGAGCCCAGATTTTTTTTTTTTTAATTTATTTATTTATTATGTATATAGTGTTCTGCCTGCATGTATGTCTGGAGGCCAGAAGAGGGCACCAGATCTCATTACGGATGGTTGAGAGCCACCATGTGGTTGCTGGGAATTGAACTCAGAACCTCTGGAAGAGCAGCCAGTGCTCTTAACCTCTGAGCCATCTCTCCAGCCCGAGCCCAGCTTTTTACTTGAGTGTTGGGAGTGCTCATGCTTATGGGACAAGTATGGTACTCGAGCCATTTCCCCAGCCCTTTATTCTGTTTTTGAAACAAGATCTCATATAGCCTCAGCTGACCTTGACCTTCACCTCCCAAGTGTTGGGATCACTGGTGTATAAGCCATGCCCAGCTTCAAAGTAAATTTAGAGGAAGGAGAAAAAATTGCTTAGGTGGCTGTAGAAGCTGCCAGGTGGCTGACTAAGGGACCCAGGTGCTTGTGTGGGAGCATGCAGCCATGGGGGCTTCCTAGAAGGGTGTTGAACAACCTTTGAAGAGGAGGAAGGTACAAGTGAAAGCCAACTTCACAGAGCACAGCACTGACAGGCAGGTGTCTCACAGACAGCGCTACTTCATGACTGGGGATACAGCTCAGTGGGCAGAGTGGTTGATTGGCTGGTGTATACGAAGCCCTGGGCTTGATGTCCTGTGCCTCAGAAAGGTGTATAGTGGAGCACACCTGTAAGCTCAGTGCCGAGAGGCAGAGACAGGAGGATCCCACGGGCTCACTGGCCCGCCATTCTAGACACTTGGGGAGCTCCAGGTTCCATGGCAGGCCCTGGTTTAAAAATAAAGTGTAGAGCAGTAGTTCTTTTTTTTTTTTTTTTTTTTTTTTTTGGTTTTTCGAGACAGGGTTTCTCTGTGTAGCTTTGCACCTTTTCCTGGAACTCACTTGGTAGCCCAGGCTGGCCTTGAACTCACAGAGATCCACCTGGCTCTGCCTCCCGAGTGCTGGGATTAAAGGCGAGCAGTAGTTCTTAACCTTCCTAAGGCTGTGACCCTTTAACACAGTTCCTCACATTGTGGTGACCCCCAACCATAAAATTATTTTTGTTGTTACTTCATAACGATAGTTTTGCTACTGTCATGAATCATAATGAAAATATTTTTAGAGGTACAGGTTTGCCAGCCAGATCACGGCCCACAGGTTGAGAACCACTGGTACAGAGCAATAAAGGAAGACTCCTAATACCAGTCTCTGGCCTCTACAAATGTATACACACTCACACACACAGACCCTCCGCTTGTGGATAGAGTGTGTATCACATTCTACAGGGACAATGTAATAAAATACTATTATTTCATGCAGGACTTTCACTTAGCTATTCACATGTATTTTTTTCCAGGCCCCCCCCCCCCAAAAAAATGCTTTTAAGATTGTGCACACCTTTAATCCCAGTACGCAGGAGGCAGAGGCAAGTGGATCTCTGTGAGTTCAAGGACAGCCTGGTCTACAGAGCGAGTTTCAGAACAGTCAGGACTACATAGTGAGACCCTGTCTCAAATTTTAATAATAATAATAATAATAACAATAATAAAGATTATGCAGAGACACACCTGCTGGGAGTTAGGGGTAGCACATGCCTACCGTCTTTAGAAACAGAAGGATCAAGAGTTCTAGGTCAGCCTGGCCTATATAAGATTATTATTTCATAAAAAAAATGTAATTAGGGTAAGTTCTCAGTCCAAGTACACCAGCGAAACTCACTGTTATCAGTGCTTCACCGAAGGTCCCCAGGAGAGCCCCTTTTCTCCTCTTGATAACCAACCCAGCGCTCCTCCATTGTGCACCCGCTTTCCCACGGTCAACGAAGCCGCCAGGGACATCATTAGAAGTCCAGCTCTTCTCAGGTGTGTGGCACCAGTCGGGGCCCCAGCCCTGGCATTCAGCTTGGGATCCGCTGGAGATAAGCAGACACTATCCGGGCTCACTTTCCATCGGCACCACTCTTCTGAATGAAGATCGGTTTTATTTTGTCTTGCTTAGGAAGAGGAGGCAGCGAAGTGGCTGGGGGGAGGGGGCACCAGACCACGGACACAGGGCGCGGGGTGGGGGGGGGAGGGATGGAGGGGTGCAGCGCAGTGGGGAGAAGACAGGGAAGTGGGGGGGAGGGCAGGGCAGTCGGGGGAGTAGCACAGTGCGGGGCGCAGAAAAGGGAAACAAAGATGATAAGATATAGGAGTTATTTCAGGGCTGAGCTGATAGTTATTATTTTCAACAAGTATGAAGGGTGAGCCTTTTAACTTTTTTCTCTGTCTCCCTCCCCTCTTTTTTCTTTTTTGAGAAAGATCTTGAGCTCAGTATGTGTGGCTGATGACCAACCCTGCCTCCACCTCCCAAATGCTAGGATTAAACATGTGCACCACCACCATGATCAGCTCTTCTTTGGTCTTGGTTGTTTTTTGACATGGGGGTAGGGGGTGTGGGGAGTAGTCCAGGCTGGCTTATAACTCACTTTGTTGCCCAAGTTGGCCTCAAATTCATAGCAATTCTCTGTACAACCTCCCAAGTGCCTGGAAATACAGGTATGAGCTCCCATATCCAATAAGAACTTTTTCCCCCCTAACTATTAAAAAATAAACAATGGGAGACTGAGGATGCATTAGGAGAGTGCTCGTCTAGCATGCACAAAGTTCTTCATCCCCAGCACAGCATAAGACTGGAGTTGGGGTGCTCACCTGTAACCCTAACACTTGGAGGCAGAGGCAGGAAGATGGGAGGTTCAGGGTCATCCTCAGCTACACATGAATGGGCAGGGGAGACTGGGTTGGGGACTATAGATCACTTTCATGAGCTCCAAACAAACCTGAGTTGGCAGCCGAAGAAACAGAACCGCATCAATTTGCTAATTGAAAAAGCCAAAGATAGGTGATCACCATGGTGGCCTTTGGCCTGGCCACAGACCAACTCTAGTACTATGCCACTTTGGCCAGCAGAGGGCTCTCTTTGCTAATCGTCAAGTTCCAAAATAACAAAACAACAACAAAAAAGTTCCTGGGTTGCTCATTTTTTTTTTTTTTTATGATGCCCCGTCTGAAGCCTCTTCCAAAGCTAAAGTAATAAAGACATAGCAGGAAATGGTAGCAAATCCCTCCAATCACAGCGCTCCGGAAGAGGCCGGACCAAGAGGATCAAAGCTGGACTGGCCTGGGCAACTAGTAAGACCCTGTCTAAAAATTAATAGTGGTAATAACTTTAAGACAAGAAAAAATTAGGAGATAAAAATGTGGATGTGATGGCACATGCCTAGAATTCCAGCCCTTCTAGGTCATTTAAGGCCAACCTGAGCTATATTAGATCTTATCTCAAAAACACAGGGAAAAGGGCTGGAGGGATGGCTTGGTGGTTAAGAGCGCTTGTTGCCCTTGCAGAGGACCTGGGTTCGATTCCCAGCACTCCTGTGCTAGCTCACAACCACCCACAGCTCCAGTTCCAGGGTGTCCCACACCCTCTTCTGACCTCCACATGCATGTAGTGCGCATAACATATATGTAGGCAAACACTCATACACATGAAATAAATAATAATAATTTAAAATTAAAACAACATAGAAATGAAAAAAAAAAAAAACACAAAATGCTGAGCCCATACGATGGCTCAATTGCTGCCAAGCCTGAGTTCAAGCCCCGGAACCCAAACACTGGAAGAAGAGAGCTCGTTCCCAAAGTTGTCCTCTGACCTTCACACATTTGCTGTGGCATGTGCCCATTAGCGCGCGCGCACACACACACACACACACACACACACACACACACACGCACACACACACACACACACACACACACACATACACACACACACACACACACAAATTAATTAAGTTTTTTGTTTTGGTTTTTTTTTTTTTTTGGTTTTTCGAGACAGGGTTTCTCTGTGTAGCTTTGTGCCTTTCCTGGGACTCACTTGGTAGCCCAGGCTGGCCTCGAACTCACAGAGATCCGCCTGGCTCTGCCTCCCGAGTGCTGGGATTAAAGGCGTGCGCCACCACCGCCCGGCTGGTTTTTGTTTTTTTGAGACAGGTTTTCTCTGTGTAGCCCTGGCTGTCCTGGAACTCACTCTGTAGACCAGGCTGGCCTTGAACTCAGAAATCCACTTACCTCTGCCTCCCAAGTGCTGAGATTAAAGGCATGTGCCATCACTGCCTGGCTTAATTAAGTTGTTTAATGCTGAGTTCTTTAAAGAAAATGAGTCTTTTTTCATCTGTAGGCTCTTTGCTTACACAGTCAAAGAGAAAAGCACCAATTGAACCTAAAATAGCACAACAGCCACTTATTATGACAATAAAAAGGGAACTCCAGCTAAAACCAGTAACTGGGTGGAGCAGTAGCCACTACGAGGTCCACCTCCTGGGGCCTCTGATTCAGAATGCTGACTCTAGACAGAGTTTATGGAATCCAAGCTGGCCTTTCTCTCTCCCTTTGATGCTAGGGGTGGAACCCAGGGTCTATGTATGCTAGGCAAGCCCTCTCCCATTGAGCTGCACTGGCCTCAGGCCTCACATGTCTAGCTCTTGCTGGGATATCACTCTTCAAAAACCTAAATCATATCACTATGACTACTGTGTGCTCTGATGGTCCAAGCATGCTATCCTATATCTATCTGTTTCATTTAATGAAGCTATAGTTTTTCTTTTAATATTGTGTGTGTGTGTGTGTGTGTGTGTGTGTGTGTATGCTAAGCTATGACAGCTGAGCTGGGTGGGGTGGCATATGCCCGTTATCTCAATGCTTGGGAGGTGGAAGAAGGATCAGAAGTTCGAGGTTTGGGGTCTGGAGACAGCTCAATAATTAAGAACATATACTGCCCTTGCAAAGGACCCAGCACCACATGAGGCAGCATACACTACCTATAACTCTATCTCCAGAGGTTCTGACACACTCTTCTGGCCTCTGAGGGCGCAGCACGCACATGAGCAAACATATACACACATAGACATAATTTTAAAAAAAAAATTCTTTTTAAAAGGGGGTTTTGGACTGGAGAGCTGGCTCCGTAGTTAAAAACACCTGTTGCTACTGCAGAGGACCCAGGTCCCAGCACCCACATGGTAGTTAGCAACATAGGTAACTCCATCTCCAGGGGGTTCTGATGCCCTTTTCTGGTCCCCATGGACACTGTACACATGTGGTATACAGACATACATGTGGCCAAAACACTCACCCACATAAAAATATAAATAAATCTTTAAAGAAAAAGTTCAAGTTGCTCCTCTGCAGAGGAGCTCCAGGTTCAGTGAAAGACTGTCTCAAAAAATAAGGAAGAGAAGGAATGAGAAACACACTCAGCTTCAACCTCTGGCTTCCACATGCGTACACACGTATGTATACACACAAACGAACACACAATAATTAATATCACAATTTTCTTTTAAAACATTTATCCCATTTATGTATTTATTGGGTATGGGTGGTACACACACGTGAGTGCACACATATGCCACAGGTAAGCATGTTGGAAGTCAGAGGACAGTTTGCAGGACTCTGTCCTTCCACTATATAGGTTCCAGGGATTAAGCTCTGGCTGTCAGGGTTGGTGGCAGCTGCCTTTACCCAACTGAGCAAATCTCCATGGCCCTTTTTTAGTTTTTTGAGACAAGGTCTCATGTAGCGCTGGTTGGTTTCAAACTCCTTGTGTAGCTCAGGCTGACCTTCACCCCTGACTCTCCTGTCCCATTTCCAGCATGCTCAGGGCATTTCTAGAATTTTTTCCTCCATTTTTCTATTTAACAACAGATAGCATTACATCCACAGATGAGTTAAGAGGGGTGTGCCGTGTGTTTGGTTTCCAAGGCACATAAGGGAGGTATAAATATCATCCCCATTAACTCGGGGATGCCTTCACAAACCACAGAAAACTGAGCCTCTCCGTCTTTTTACCACATGGATCTTACCGGGAACATTATCCCCAAACTCCTAGTCCTTGATCTTTGGCAGCTGGCACACCCGGGGATGCCGCCTGCGAGACTAGCTGCTGCCTCCGAGAGTTACTCAGAACACTTTCCGGGAAAATCGTTTCCCATTTCCATTAGCAGGCCAGTCTTTAGCTGCCACTCAGCACTTGGCTGACCTGAGCTAGATCACAGAGTATTGGGTGCACGAGGTCACTCGCCCAATCTTTCCATTTACAGATGAGAAAATTCTAATCGGTGATTTCCTGCCGGGACGTTAGACAAGATGACTTATAGGTTCCTTCTGGCCACGGTCCCGGGATTCCTATTTCCTTCTCGGTATCATGCATTCCGCTGACACGGATCAGGTTATTTTCCAAGAAAGCTAAGTTCCTAATTTTTGGCCACAAACCACACATTCACCGGAGTCAAAGGGAAAACAACAGTGCCATCGTGTAGGATGAGCATTTAACATATATGATCTTACTAGAAAAAGAAAATCGTGTGACGATGTACCTTGATGGCTTAAAAGAGCCAAACATTGCTTCACCTGGCAACCACTGTCAGGTCAGGTCTGTTATCTTCAACATGACTAGTGTATTGTACTCCCAGGCTCCAGTCTGCTGGAGGAGATGGACAGGAATGTAATTACTACCGAGAATTAGGCAAGACTTCTAAAGGATAAATGCTAGGAAGGGATCTCAGAACTTCAGTTTTATGCTCTGACAGTTTGAGGCCCGAACAATGGTGTCTAACTGAGCAAAGATGTAGGAACTAAAATCTAAAATCTTTCCCCAGGGCAAACTGTGTTAGTAATTAAAACAAAACAAAACAAACAACAACAAAAACCAGGGACCTTAAAAAAAATCCATCCCCAAGGTCCAGGTATGGTGGCACCCTCCTATAGTCCTAGCACTGGAGAGGAAGTTCGAAGTCAGCCTGATCTATATAGCAAGTTCCAGGTCAACTACACTATGTAGTGAAAAGACTCCATGTAGGAAAAACAAATTCACTCCTAAGATTGGGCATGGTAGTTCCCACCTGTGATCCCTGAATTTGGGGGTAGAGGCAAGAGGATCAGGAGTTCAAGGTCATCTTCAGCTATGCCGGGAGTTTGAGGCTAGTCTGGGCTACAGGAGACTTTGTTAATAGTTAATATTGTCACCTTGAGGATCATTGAGACAGCTCAGCAGGTAAAGGCACTAGCCACCAAGCCTGACCTCCTGAGTTTTATCCCTGCAACCCACATGGTGGTAGGAGAGAACTGACTCCTAAAGTTGGCCTCTGACCTCCCTACATGTGCACACACACAGACAGAAATGTTTAAAAGTCACACATAGAGCCAGGAGTAGTAGTGCACAGTGCTCAGGAGTTAGAGGGAAATGGATCTCTGTGAGTTCCGGGTCAGCTTAGTCTACATAGAAAGTTCCAGGACAGCTAGGGCCATGGAGAGAGAGACTTTGTTTCTTTTTTCTTTTTTTTTTTTTTAAGATTTATTTATTTATTATGTATACAGTGTTATGTCTGCAGGCCAGAAGAGGGCACCAGATCTCATTACAGATGGTTGTGAGCCACCATGTGGTTGCTGGGAGTTGAACTCAGGACCTCTGGAAGAGCAGTCAGTGCTCTTAACCTCTGAGCCATCTCTCCAGCCCGAGACTTTGTTTCAATTAAAAAATAAATAAATCAATAAGTACAATATGTATATACAAATATACACACATGCATATACACTGCCAATTAGACAAGATCTAGAATCACTTTGTCTTAATTTATTTCCTGTTGCTGTGATGAAATATCCCGACTGAAGCAACTGAAGGAGAAATGGTTTTGTTTAGCTCACGGTTCCAAGCTATAAACTATCATAAAAGGGAAGTCACAAAGGCAAGAGACCGGGTCAGCTGGCCACATTCCATTCAGTCAGGAACAGACAGCAATGAACGCATGTGCACTACTGCTGAGATCAATTTCTTTACTCTGACACAGTCCAAGATCCTCTGCCTAGAGAATGATGCCTTGTCTTCCCGCACCAACTAACATAAGATAATTACCCAGAGGCATACCCAGCGTCCCATTTCCCAGGAGGCTATAGATTCTGTCAAGTTGATATTAAGAGGAAACATTACACACCTAAGAGATTTATATTCCCTCACTCTCCCTCTCTCACTCCCTCACCCTCTCCCTCTCCCTCTCCCTCTCTCTCTCTCTCTCTCTCCCTCCCTCCCTCCCCCCTCCCCCTCCTCTTTCTGATGTGGGAAGACCCACCTGTTGTGTAACAGTTTCCCCTGAGATTGAAACATTCCATCCTGCAGGGAAGCTTTTTAAGCAGGAACATAAACAACTCAAAAGGCTTCAGGAAGTCCCCAAAACCAACAAGATTCTCTCTGCCCCTCCCTGCCAGAAAAATAAGTAATAATTTTCAGAAACAATAAAAGCTTAGGATCCCTCTCAGAACTGCAAAGAAGACTCTCAGACAGGCAAAGCTGAAAGGGAGACTCTGAGACCAGACCAGCTGACAGGAAGAAGCAGAAACCAGCTGAGCTGCCTGGAAGAGGGCTAAACCAATGGGGCACCTGGAAAGGACACTCTCCAGCCTGTTGAGCTGCCTGCAGGCTGTGCAGTGAGCTCCAGGTTCCCAGCTTTGTGACCTGTCACTCATGCTGGAGTGGGCTTTGGTGATACAGCTGTCTTTGAGTCATTTCTGCTCCTGTAAGTGACCTTCATCCATATTCCTGTAAATAACCCCAATAAACTCCCAAGTTGGACTTTGGTGGTATCTGTACTTTGGTCTGTTGTGGGTTCTTTTTCTGGGGTGAGTAGATATGTGTGTGTGTGTGTGTGTGTGTGTGTGTGTGTGTGTGTATGTGTGTGTGTGTGTGTGTGTTGCATCTCCCCGGAAAAGTTTTGTCACACAACACCATCTTAAATGTGAATGGCACTAGCCTCATGGAGGACTAGAGTCCTAGACTAAATAAAAAGGCAAAAGTGGGCCGGACACCACCATTCATCACCCTCTCTGTGTTACCTGACTTCAGAAGCAATGTCACCCGCCTCACACTCCTATTAACAACTAGTATACTAATCCCCCACCTCCACCATCAACTGCCCTGTAGATCTATGCCTTTGAGCAATGCTTCCCTGTCCCCCAAGAGGAAGCCTGCAAGAGATGCAAGTGTATCAAGAACCAGGGGGCTGCGATGTGTCACCTCAGCAGGAAGCAACAAGTGAAAAGCCTGCACCTAAGAATCAGAGGGCTGCTCCTAGAGAGACACACATCTCCAGAGCCTGTGAAAATGAAACAACACCTGGGAATCCTCTCCAACAGAACTGATCCCGGGGAAGAGCAGATTAGCAATATCCTGACAACGGAAGAAGCAGAAGCCAGTGTAGAAGATTTAGCCACCCCAGATCACAGAATGCCCCAGCTCCAGATAAGAAAACCAAAGAAGAACAGCCAAGACAGTGGAGGAGCTTGGGATAAAGAGAGATGAAAAGAAGGCCAAGAAGCCCCCCAAAGAGCCAGGGCTGCAGACCCCAAATGATGGAGTCCAGGGGCAAAGTCAGTGGGAAAAGAACATGCTTGAGGTCTGGAGGACAGAGTGAGCTTCCCCAGCCTCGTGCAGCCAAGGAGGAACAAGTGAGAAAAGTACTGAAAGGAGTCTCTGGAGATTCTGATGTTGGGTGCTTGACGTCCAGAAAAACTGGAGTCACTTTGGATAGTTGAACCTCAGCAAGAGTAACTCTAGGTACAAAAAAAAAAAAAAAAAAAAAATCCAAAGAAGGATGAAGACATTGTATCTACTGAGAAATTAGGAACAAGCGGTCACAGGGGACAGTGAAAATATGGAGGAGAGACATTTGAGAAGGGAAAATTGACTTAGAGATAAATTCCAGTGTGACTTTCACCTCCAGTGTAAAGGAGGACTGTGAATAGTGCTGCCCCTGTTTAAAAGGAACCTTTGAGCTTTCCTGGTCCTACTCTCTTGAAATGCCAACAGAGATCATGATGAGGGTCCCCAGGGATCTCAGAGCAGTAACAATTTAAAAATTTCAGAGAGGGCAGGCCGAAGTGTGGCCCTCTGTCCTGTACAATAATGCTCTGAAGTTTTTTGTTTTTGTTTTTGTTTTTGTTTTTGTTTTTGTTTTTTTTTTTAAAAAAAAAACAACAACTATGCCTTTGAAAGGGGAAAAAGAAGGCCCCAGCCACTAACCTGGAAGTACGAACTAGGAAACACGATGAGCGCTGGAGGCTGAGCAGCTGCTGGCAGCAGAAGGAGAAGAATCTGGGCAGAGCAGGCTCAGGTGCAACTTAGGAAAGGTTTGGGGGGCAGATTGTGGTGGCTTGCAACTATAATCTAAGCACTTAGGGCTGAGGCAGGAGAACTGCTACTACTTCAAAGTCAGCTTCGGCTACATAGAATTCTAGGTCAGCTTGGACTACAGACCCTAATGAGTTGGGGAGGGAAGGAAAGAGGGAGGGAGAGAGAAGACAAGGGGAGGGGGAGGGGGAGGGAGAGGGGGAGGGAGGGAGAGGAGGGAGGGGAGGGGGGGGGGGAGAGAGAGAGAGAGAGAGAGAGAGAGAGAGAGAGAGAGAGAGAGAGAGAGAGACATGAGAGAGAGATTAACTTCTTGAGTAACCTTCCAGACCAATAGTTCTCAACCTTCCTAATACTTTGACCCTTTAATACAACTCCTCATGTTGTGTTGACCCCCAACCACAGAATAGTTTTTGTTGCCACTTCATAACTGTGATTTTGCTACTGTTATGAACTGTAACCTAAATATTTATGAAGACAGAGGTTTGCAAAAGGGATTGGGACTCACAGGTTGGGAATCACTGTTCTAGGCCATTTTATGCATACATATGAACCCTAAGTTTTCCACAAGAGTGTTTCATTCTACAAATATTGCTCTGACTGCTTTTTGCATTCATATAACAGGGCCAACTTCTATTAATAAATTAAAAAACTCCTAAGTGTGGGCTTCATGTTTTTGATTTTCCTATCGCTGGAGATTGAATCCACACCCAAGCACTCCCTGACTGAGCTATACCCCAGCCCTACCAGGCATATCTTGACGTCTATACTATCTATCATTCTCGTGCGTGCTATGAGTTCAATCAGATAATGAATCCTGTCATCCTAAATGGAGTCTCGGGGCTAGAAAATGGCTCAGTGGCTGAGTGCTCACTGCTCTTACAGAGGATGCAGCATTTCATTCCTAGCACCCAGGGCAAGCGGCTCACAAGCACCTGTAACCCCAGCTCCAGGAGACCTGACACTCTCTTTTGTCCTCTACTGGCACCCATAAGGTGTGCCATACACTCTCACACAGACACACACACACCATGAAAAAGGAGACAGGGTCTTGTGATGAAGCTTAGGCTGGCCTCCAACACCTGGCAATCCCCCTGTCTCTGTTTCCCAAGTGGGAGGACTGCCAGTAGGAAGCACCATACCCAGCATCAAATGTTTTGTTCAGTTATTTTTTTGTTTCAAAAGAAAATCTAATATATAACAGTACAATCATTCTAGAAAGTACACACGACTGTTTGTTTCCCAAAAACTAAATCTGTAAAAAAGAATAGCGAAATAAAGACTATACATTTAAACCAACAGTATATAATAATGTGTATGATACATGTATTTAAATGTATGCATGTGTATGAGGTGTGTGTATATTTGTGTATGTGCATATATGTATGTGTGACCTCTGTGAAGGTGTGCATGTATATATGTGTGTACCTTTTTGAAGTGTATGTGTGTGTGGTATGTGCATGTATATGTGGTGTTATTATGTATGTGGTGTGCATGTATGTGTTGTGTATATGTGTGTGTGTATGTGTGGATATATATAAGTATGTATGTGGTATATATGTATGTATATGTGTGTAGTGTGTGTATATGTGTGTAGTGTGTGTGTATGTATGTGGTGTACATATATGTGTGTGGTGTGTGTATAATGTGTAGTGTGTGTGTATATGTGTGGTGTATGTATATGTGTGTGGGGGTAGATTTAACATCTTCAAGTATTGTTATCACCAGCCACCACCAGTTGTATAATAGTCTTTCTCCACTGATGTGACATTTCACATTTGTCATGAAATAAACAATAAATGACACTTCAGCTGAGTGTGGTGGCCCAAATACAGTTTGGAGGAAAATAGCTCCTGGTCGCGTTCAGCATCGGAAGCAGGGTGGCAGGCCTGTGAGAGGCAGCTGTACCAACCACAAGGGGCCACCTGGGGCGTCTGCAGTAAAGGAGGTGAGGTCACTATGCCAAGGCTTAGGTATTCTGAAGACCAGGGCTCCTTCACTGACTCTGAGTTAGTCACAGATCCCACAACACAGTCTCCTTGCTTCCTTGGTCACCAGTGAAGCTGGGAAAAGTCACTGAGCCTTGGAGGGAAGTAGCAGTGA